GTTCCTGATGTCAGCCATGGTATCACTTCATCTGGTTTTGCTGCATTTCTGGGTCTGGAGTTGAAACACAATTGAGGCCTAGATGTTATCTCTAGTTTGACCAAAACTCTCTCTCTGTGTGAACATTCTTGAGGCTTTGTTCCTCAGATTATTTGATGCTGATCAGAACCTCATTGTCCTGAGGGTCTAAGGCTTGAGAGAGGGAGTGGTCCTGCAAGCGGCTGCTGAGTCAGGGCGCTTGGACGCAACCAGTTTGAATCAGCTATATGTCTCAGTTTCCCCATTCCATTTGCCAAGGAATTTTCTAAGCTTCTTGCTATCCTGCCTTATTTCCACTTGTTCTCTTTCCCACAGCCCAAGTCATTCCTATAAACTCTCCCTGATGTATCTCCTCAGCGCTTCCTATTGTCCCTTAGGATTCTTTTCCTTGCCCCATACCCTACACTGCCCAGACATCTCTCGCTGAGATGCACAGCTCTGTACAAGCTGAAAAGGGAATCACAACTGAGGCCTGGACGTTATCTCTAGTTTGACCGAAACTCTGTCTCTGTGGTCAATAGACTCCAGGCTCTTTTCCTTAGATTGTTTGATGCTGATCTGAACGTCATTGTCTTGAGGGTTTAATGCTTTAGGGAGGGGGTGGCCGTGCTGGAAAGGAGGAGGCAGGATGAGTTGGGGTTAACCTGCTTGGGGCTCATCCACTCCCCATTGTGACTTTCAGTCCCTTTTTCACTACCTGGCGACAATGTTGTCACTAGAGAACCTCCTATGGGTGCAACCAAATAGCTGAGCTAGCTACCCCCTTTGAGGGCATGTTGGAACCCTAAAACACACACTTCTAAAAGCAGGACATTCTGGGTTTGGTCCTTGGTTTCCTGTTTTCAGCACAAGGATCAATGGGAGGAGAAGCATCTCCAGACTATAATTACTTTCCCTTAGGGGCGCCCTTGCTTTGATTTTTAAAAAAATTTAATCTTACTTTCCTTCTTCTTCTTCTTCTCTTTCTACTCCTCCTCCTTCTTCTTGTTCTTCTTTTTCCCCCAAACCCTTGCTTTGATTCTTGTTGTCACATACCTACATTTTTCCCGGGACAAAATCATCTTGCTCTAATGACCAGGACTTCCTTAGAATGGCTGCAACAAGTTGGTTTTTTCCAAAAGAATTTTAATAAATAACAAAATAAGTTGGTGGAGAGAGAGAGAGAGATCACAGAACACCCAAACAACACAGAGTTCCTTACCTAAAGCTTGGCCCAGTTCGAGGTTACTGTAATTACATTCTAGACCACTGGGCTTCTTTCATGAGTTCAATATGACAAAGCTTCCAGACTTGGTGGCCAGCCCCATCTTTTTTTTTTGCATGTATATGTCACCATAGAGTTGAAACAAGAACCAATTCTATGTCTCATGTATAGCTCTCTCTTACAGCATCCACTTTTCTTCAGCTCCATGGTGGGATGCTGAAAATGCCCTGGGCTTTTAGGCAATTCCTTATCTGTTTTTTTTTTTTTTAAAGACTTTATTTATTTAACTATGCCTGGTATAGCTCACTGGATTAAACATAGGCCTGTGAATTAAAGTGTTGCTGGTTCAATTCCCACTCAGGGCACATGCCTAGGTTGCCAGTCAGGTCCCCAGTAGGGGGCACACGAGAGGCGACCACATATTGATGTTTCTTTTTCTCCTTCTCTTCATCTCTCTCTGAAAATAAGCAAATAGATAAACAAATAAAAATTTTTATTTCTTTAGAGAGAGGAGAAGGGAGGGAGAGAGAGAGAGACAAACATCAATGTGTGGTTGCCTCTCATGAGCCCCCCACTAGGAACTCAGCCTGCAACCCAGGCATGTGACCTGACTGGGAATTGAACCGGTGACCCTTTGGTTCACGGGTGCCCAGCACTCAATCCACTGAGCCACACCAACCAGGGCCATTATCTGGTTCTTCAATAAAAACATCCCCCATAGGAAATTTTACCCATGGGAGAGATGGATTTGCCCTCAAATTCCTGGCATGGCCCAAGAGGCACTCCTTTGTAATGAGGATGGCTGGAATGGAGAGAAGAAACCTAATAATTACAAAGCTCTTAACATGTGCCAAACACTTTAAATATTTAATTTTTAGCACAAGCTTTTGCTGTAGGTGTCAATCGCTAATTATATTTTGCAGAACTTGAGACTCAGAGGAGTTAAGTAATTTGTTGAAGGTTTTAAAGCTAAAGAGCTAAACTAAGAGTAAAGTTTGGGCTGGTTGATGACAAGGAGGTAGAAGTGCCTTTGTTTCTCTAAAGGTGCAGGCTTTTCCACCCTTGTCCGGTTGGAGGGAGTGTTTTAGTCTAACAACATTTGTCAAACTCCCTTATGTGCATACCTCTTTGGTATTAGGAGGTATTGAAGTTTCATAGACAAAGTCCTTGCCTGCTGCCAGTTTACTGGATGACTCCAGGTAAATTATTCCACTTACTTATGTGTCAGCTCAGAAATAGAGTGATGTCAGATTAAGTCACAATACGTTTTTGATGGGATCTCCAATAAAAAGGTGATGATAAACAACAGCTATGCAGTGTGCATAGCAAGTGTCCAGAACACTTGCTTGTTGTGTTTGGGTCAGAAGAGCTGAGTGCAGGCTCCCAATTTGACACATGGTTATAAAACCCTTGGGAATCTGAAACTTTCTCAAGTTGGGGGGAAGGGGATGAAAAGCAACAGACACCTGCTATTTGCATAGTGCTCTATAGAGCATTTCCAAATCTGCACAACTGATCCTCACTCCACCTGTGAAGTGGGGGTTAGTGAACCCATTTTAATAGATGAGAAATCTTGGGTTACACAGTCAATCAAGGTAATTCAGGCAAAGGTGTTTTGTTTATTTTATTTTTTGACTTTGCTTCAGATATCTAGAAAATTTTTTCACTTCAATCATTTGTAATAACAGATCAACACTAACACAATCAACAGGCAAATGAAACACATTCTTATTTTCTGGGGGACACCTCCCATCCCTACACACACCTCCAAACCCAGAGTCAACAACACATAGCTTTACATTCCCCAGGAACTCCAAACAACCCAGAGCAGTGAGGGACCATCTTCGTGTTTGTTCGTTTATTTATTACTTAAATTTAAAGAAAAATGGATTTTTGGAGAAAAATTTGTTCCACTTTATGCATTCAGTGGTCGATTCCTGTATGTGCCTTGACTGGAGATTGAATCCGCAGCAACCTGGGTGCATCGGGTGGATGCTCCAACAAATTGAGCTACCTTGCCAGGGCATTCATTCTTTGTGTTTATTATACAACAATGTCTGGAGAAGTTTGGAATGGATTGGCTTCTTTAAAGAAAGTTGTTTGTGTTCGTATGAGGGATAGCTAGCTAAGATTAAAAACTCTATTTGTTTTTTTTATTTCTGTGAGGGTATGGGGCTGAGCAAACAGCGATTGTCTAGAGAATCCGCATGGGAAAAATAATAACTATGTAAAAGCTTTAGGCACACAACCAAGTTAAAAGTCCACCAATAAACAGCACGCGAACTGACAGCATACCCTCCTTTGGAGGTGGTGGTGGTGAACTGTGGAGTCCGGTACCCTTCTGAACAACGAACACCCTCCCCCCACCCTCTCCTCTCAGCAGGGCAGCGTTGTATATAGGGATTGTTTAGAGGAAAGTCCTCCTGGTGTGGGGGAGTGGGTTCTCTTCAACCCAGTTTTGGGGCGAACGCTGATAGACCTACCAATGCAGTTAGGGCGGACTTGGAAAGGAGCCAGTTTTTCCAGCCTGGTCCCCAGCTGGGTCTCTGCCTGGGAAGCTGGAAGCACGTGGTGGGGCTTCCTGGCCCCAGAACCTGGAGGCTCCAAGCCCTATTCACATCGCCACAAGGAAGGCGCCCTGTATTGTGCACTTATCTGCATCCAAGTGTTTGCCTTAAGACAGGAACCTACACGCTCGAGGTCACATTTACCGGGGCTCCCAGAGGGACAGACCTGTCTCGGGGTGGGCGGGTGGCAGGGTACCTCGATAGAGCGGTGGGGGCTCCGGAGAGGCTGACCCCTTGCCCCCACCCCAATTTTCTAGTGGCCCCTGGTCCACACCGGCGAGTGCTGGCCTCCCCCTGGGTCAGGACCCTTACCCTAGGAGCCTCCACTTCCAGCAAGGTCCCTCAAACCGTCCCCTTCCCCAATTCCCTGCTTGCCGGAACCACTCCGACCTCCCCTGGCCCGGCCCACTGGGCCGCGCCACCCTGGGGCTGGGAGCCCGCACCTGCCCCCACCCCGCGGCGTCCCCTCCCCTTCACTTCCCCCTCCCCTCGTTCCCTCCTTCCCCTCCCCCCTGCGGCGAGGCGGCAGCGGCGGCTGAGGCGGCGGCGGCGACTGAGGCGGCGGCGGCGGGCGGGGCTCGGCTCGGCTCGGGCTCCGCGGGCGGGCGGGCGGACATGGCGGCCAACATGTACCGGGTCGGAGGTAGGAAGGCTCGGCCCGACCCGGCCCGTCTGGGAGCGGGCTCCGGGAGTGGGAGGTCGGGGCGAGTTCACCCTAACCGCTGGTAGCACGGGCGCCCGGACTGAGGGCGCGGGGGGCGGGGGGACGCCGGGGCCCGTGGAGGGCCGGGGCTCCCTACCCCGCCACCTTCCCCTCCCCCTCCCCCGCCGGGGCCCGCCGGGGGCCCAGGCCCACCCCCCACCCGCCCAGTGTTTCAGGGTCAGGCCTGTACTTGGGGGTGTGAGTTATCAGACGCCCCTCCATGAAACTCCCATGGGGGTAGGGACCGTCGAGCCCCCTAACAGGGTTGTCTTTCCTCGCGTGGCTTCTAGGCAGCGGGGGTTGGCTAGGGTGGGGGACATCCCTCCCATCTTCTACTTGTCTTCCGTGGGAGTGTGAGGCGGGGGTGTGGGTGAGGGGAGCCCATCTGGACAGGCCTGTTTGCGGGGACAGGGCCCAGCACCTCTCCTCCCCACTCCCCCTTTCGTTTGTTGTCCTGCCCCCCAAGAATGGGGCTTAGTGGGGCCAGGGCACCGCAGCCAGAGCGGGGGAGTTGAGCTCCGCCTGGACGTTTGCTCTCCTGTCCGCCTCCTTCCCAGCCTTCTGCAGAAGAGAGAAATAAGGTCAAACAAACTTTCTCCCTACTCACGACGCCCTCCTCCCTCTTTCCTGGTAAAATAATAATTCAGATAAGTGGCGTGTTTGTGTGTGAGACATGCTTTTGCTTCTCTGCTCATTAGCTGAGCTTCTGATGGATGGTGCTGGGAATGGCCTGTCTGAATGAGGCCACTTTGCAGAAGAGAGACAGGAAAGAGCTACTGAGATAGACAATAACAATGCAGCCTCTCAAATAAACAGACACACAGTGGGCAGTTTCCAGTAAACCTATTACATGAGAGAAGAGGCCACAGATGAAAATTTTACCCTATTTGTTAAAGGCCTGTGGCGATTTTTTAAATAACAGAACTCTAAATGGATCTAGATTACATGTGGTAAAGATATGAATAAAGACTCTTGATAGCACTTGGAGACCTGTGTCTCTTAGAAAGTGGGCCCCCCTCTTACCCCTCACCTTCTAGATAGAGCCGTGGAAAAGTTTGTCAATGACCCACTCACCTGATAATTCTTTTTTTTTTTAAGTTGATGATTGAAATGTGCATTGAGCAGCCAAGCCTTTCAAGATGCTCTGAGTTTGTCTTAGGCCAAATATGAGAAGCGTACTCCAGAGCAAATTGGATTGGAGGGAAAAGATGTAAAAGCGGTTATAGTGTGAAAGACACATGTTTGTGAGCTCCGACTACTTGATGACAAGAGGTGTTTTTGTTATTAAAGAAATGACACGTGTGGAACAGGAGTCCAGGAGACCTTGATAAAACATTAATTAAAATGAACATGCTAGGAAAACAAGGGTCTAGAAATAGTAGGCACATGGGAGAATAAGGTTGCATTACCAAGTTTGTTTTTACCAGGGAATGAGTTATATGCTTCGTTTTGAATGTGAATTGCCTAATGTAGAAAGTTATGGATCCACAGATGTGAACTTTCTGTTGAAAAGAGTAAGCTCTTTACTTCCTTTAATTACAGATTATGTCTACTTTGAGAATTCCTCCAGCAACCCATACTTAATCAGGAGGATAGAAGAACTCAACAAGGTATATACTTGAGTATTCTTGATTCTAATATTGAAAAATGATTGTTTCCCATGGAAGATAATTGGGTAAAGGGCATAGAGGTGATTTTACTTTCAGTCCCAGACTCTCTGAAAGTAGAGATTTCAGATTAGAGGATTATGTAGGACTCTGAATATTCATTTCCTTTTATAATTACCTCATATTAAATGTTATTGGATATTTAACATCCGAAGGTTTCTTCAGATTACTTAGAGCTTCTCAGAGCAGGTCGTTCCTGTAACTCAGTCCCTTTTAATATTTAGAGTTGTAATTTGTATTTCTCCCTTTTTATTTTATTTTTTAAAAAACATTTTATTATTTTTTTGAGAGAGTGGAAGGGAGGGAGAAAGAGAGAGAAACGTCAATGTGCAAGACACATAGGTCCAATCTGCTGCCTCTCGCATGCCTCAAAATTGGGGATCTGGCCCGCAACCCAGGCATGTGCGCAGACTGGGAGTTGAACCAGTGACCTTTTGGTTTGCAGGCCGGTGCTCAGTCCACTGAGCCACACCAGCCAGGGCAATTTGTCTCTTTTTAGTGAATTAATTTTTTTCCTCTTTCAGCTTTAAAAGGAGGAAGGTAGGAAATACAATATTGAAGGGAATTTGTAAAATTCCGGACTAGGCTAACTAGTTTTGATGTAATATAAACTGACTTTGTACCTTAGGCTTAAGTAAGTAAAACTTGTACATTAAGGTTTGTCTCTGATCACAGGTGTTCAGGACACCAGAAGCATTGTGACTGTAGTAGACAAGCTTTCCCAGTGGAGGCACAGAAAACATTCATAAGCTACATGAACCATACATTTCTCATCATGCTCTGGTTTCCTCCGAACCACTTTGGGGGTTATTTGTATAGCTTGTGAAAATCCATAGTGTTAAAATGTTTGAGGCTGTCTGCTTGATGCCTTTCCCCCAAAATACCATCGGGAGATCGGTTCCGAGTCCTTAGGAAGCCAGGTATAATCAAGGACATTCCACGCTTATAGACCTTGAGATTTTGGTTTGCTTCTGGGATTACAGCAGGAGCTGTGCATTTTTTAAACTTCTGGAGCCTTGGCCAATGTGGTTCAGTTGGTTGGAGTGTCATCTGGTAACTGAAAGGTTGCAGGTTCGATTTCCCCAGGGCACATACCTAAGTTATGAGTTCGATCTTTGGTCCTGGCTCGTATGGGAGGCAACCAGTCAATGCTTCTCTCTGGCATTGTTGTTTCTCTCCCTTCTTCCCTAAAAGCAATAAAAAAATGCCCTAGGGCGATGTTAGAAATAGGATAAAACAAAACTTCTGTAGTGTTTGTGACCACCATCAAATGTAGACAGTGGCCTCGGGATTGGATCAGGCTGTGGGCGGAACTGTCCTCTGGCCCCCACCCTTGCTGCTCTGCACTTGGCTTGTTTGGCCCCCGGCACTGTAGACAGTGCTTACGTGTTTCTTACACGTACCCGCCTTAGAACCATTTAGTTGTAACATTCTTCTGTGCCTTGCTCTTTTTTCCATATTTCTTACTGCCTTTGAGTATACTTAATTATTGCGTTTATTTTCATTGCCTGTTTTCCCAAGCTAGAACGTAAGCTTGGTGTGTGTAATGAGTTTCTCTGTTCACTAATGCATCATCCCAAGTGTCTTAGAATAGTGGCTGGCCCACAGTTATGACGTTCAGTAAATATTTGTTGAATTAATGGATTTCTCAAATGTCTGCTGTTAATACTTGTACAGAGTTTTTCTGTTTACAAAGTATTTTGATTCATTTGTTCTACAGATATTTCTGAGAACCTGCCACTTGTCAGGCACTTTTAGAGACGTACTGTTAGGAATTCAGGGCTGAAGAGAAATAAAAAAAAAATGGAGACAGACACGAAGGAAATTGCAACTGTGCTAAATTTATAAATGTCAGGAAGTATATAATCTGGGGATTCACGTCTGTTACCTCTGTTGAGCCTCACAATAACCTTAAACCATTAAGGCAGATGTATTATGAATTGTAGTCATGAAGCACACAGTGGAAAGAATGGGTTACCCATTGAGCTTGAACCTGGATCATTTCACACTCCTTTATGTTATGATTCACTTCAAAAGTACCCCTCCCCACACACTACTCCTTACTGTCTCCCTGCCCCTCAGCTTTCAGCCAAGAGTCATTAATGTAGTAATTGTCCTTTGGGTGCTGGAGATGACTGGACTGTGAGGAGTAGGACTCTCTGTTATTTCAAGAATGGCAGTTTGACTGGAGGGAGTAACTGAAATTGGCTAGTTATGTACTAAATATTTACATAAGGCCTTTATTTCTGAAGGGATGTAAAAAAGACATCTTTTTAAAAAAATGTATTGATTTTTAGAGAGGAAGCAGGTGAGGGGGACAGAGAGAGAGAGAGAAAGAAATAGCGATTTGTTTTACCTATTTATGAATTCATTAGTTGCTTCTTATATGTGCCCTGACTGGAATTGAACCCACAACCCTGGCATATCAGGATGGTGCTCTAACCAACTAAGCTACCCAGCCAGGCCTAAAATAGATTGCATTTTTAAAAATTCATTAAGCAAATATTTCTTGAGCACCTATTATGTATTAGGGGCTAGGTTAGGCTCAGACACAATAATGAACAATATGGATATAGACCCTGCCCTCACAAAGTCTGTGTTCTCAGGAAGGAGATGAGGGAGACACATGAAAAGCTATTACCAGGCATAAAGAAAATAGTGATCAATAGCGTCAACTTCTAAGAAGGAAGTATTCAAGAGCCTTGCATAAGGAATAACAACTGGTCAGTTTCTTTGGACAGAGAAAGAAAGGATTTTAAGGACGTTGAAGTTGAGGCCTGAAGGATAAGGAAGAGGTAGCCATGGCAGAGGCCACAAGAATGTTCCAGAAAGGCCTTCACTACTCAGAGGTCAAGTTGACAAAGTGGGGAAAGCTGGACTACAATATTTCTTTGTCTCTTTTATCTTCTTTTTTAAAATTACAGTTATAGAATTTAGTCTCAATTCTTCCAGAAAAGTTTTGTGAGCTTTTACTTATTTATTTAAATTTTATTTATTCATTTTCAGAGAGCAGGGAAGAGGAGAAAGAAGAAAGGGAGAGATATTAGCATGTGGTTGCCTCTCACGCGCCCCATACTTGGGACCTGGCCTGAAACCCAGGCATGTGTCTTGACAGGGAATTGAACTGGTGACCCTTTGGTTTGCAGCCTGCACTCAGTCCACTGAGCCACACAGGCCAGGGCAGTTTTGTGAACTTTTAGGTGCAAAACTAAGTATCAGTTGATGATCACAGTTCAGTGTTGTTATTTGTACACAGATATAGTTAAGATGATCTTTTGGAAGAAGAATATAAACTTAAAGTAGAAAACACCTTTTGGTAAATTTTATTTAGTCACTGTCTAGGTTGGGTGTTGCTCTTGCTTCAGAAGACGGAGCATACATACATGTTGAAAGAAATCCTTCTGCATAGAACACTGAGGATGTATTCTCAGGAAGTTTTGGAAGGTGTGATTGTGGATAAAATAACATGTTGTTTGCTGTTGGGGTTTTTTTGGTGTATACTGTGTAATTTATATATACCTTCACATTCTGCATATTTCATTAATCTTCCAGCTTACTCTGAGATTTCATTTTGTAAAAGGGCTTTTTTTGGTGGGAGGAAGGAATCACCAACTTCCTTAAGCACCTGAGGACCTCCTCATCTACAATTGCACCTACAGGATTTTGCACATAATTTCAGGAGGTTCCCTCAAAGTCCTTTTACTGAAAGCAGGTTAATACCGCTCCTGCCATTTGGGATCTTTTGGGAATAAGGGCAGAAATTGGGAAAAGAAAGTCCCTTTTTAAAAAAAATTATTTTATAAAGGCGTATTTTATTCTCATGAGAGATTGATGGATTGGTTGCTTCCTACATGTACCCCAAGTAGGGAAATGAAACCTGCAATCTAGGCGTGTGCCCTGACTTGACTGGGAATCGAACTGGTGACCTTTTGATTACTAGACAAGGCTCCAACCAACTGAGCCACACTGGCCAGTGCAAGAAAGTCCCTTTCTACTTGTTCCTTTTTTTTTTTTTTTTAAGATTTTATTTATTTATTTTTAGAAAGAGGGTAAGGGAAGGAGAAAGAATTAGAGAAACATCAATGTGTGGTTGCCTCCATCATCATTATATTAGCCAAGATTAAAATGAAGGAGAGAGTCCTAGAAGCAGCAAGAGCTAAGGGGACAGTCACCTACAAAGGAGTGCCCATCAGACTGTCAGCTGATTTCTCAAAAGAGACCTTACAGGCAAGAAGTGGCTGGAAAAAAGTATTCCAAGTCATGAAATCCAAAGACCTACAACCAAGATTGCTCTATCCAGCAAAGCTTTCATTTAGAATGGAAGGACAGATAAAGTGCTTCTCAGATAAGGTCAAGTTCAAGGAGTTCATCATCACCAAGCCCTTATTATAAGAAATGTTAAAGGGACTTATCTAAGAAAACGAAGATAAAAAAGATGAACAGTGAAAGGACAGCAAACTCACAGTTATTAACAACCACACCTAAAACAAAAGCAAACTAAGAGGACAGCTAGATCAGGAGCAGAACCATAGAAATGAAGATCACATGGAGGGTTAGCAACAGGGAAGTGGGAGAAGGAGAAGGGGGGAGAAGGTACAGAAAATAAGTAGCATAGATGGTAGGTAGAAAATAGGGGGGAGGGCAAGAATAGTATGGGAAATATAGAATCTAAAGAACTTGAGACACGTGGTCATAAACTAAAGGGGGGGATGGTGGAGGAGGGGTGTGCAGGGTGGAGGGGAATGAAGGGGGGAAATAGAACAACTGTAATGGCATAATTAATAAAATGTATTTTTAAAAAAATGTCTGGTTGCCTCTCATGTGACCCCCACTTGAGGACCTGGCCTGCAACCTAGGCATGTGCCCTAACTGGAAATTGAACCAGGGACCCTTTGCTTTGCACCCTGCACTCAATCCACTGAGCTACACCAGCTAGGGCCCCTCTTTTTCTTTTTCTTTTTCTTTTTCTTTTTCTTTTTCTTTTTCTTTTTCTTTTTCTTTTTCTTTTTCTTTTTCTTTTTCTTTTTCTTCTTCTTCTTCTTCTTCTTCTTCTTCTTCTTCTTCTTCTTCTTCTTCTTCTTTTTCTTTTTCTTTCTTTTCCTTTCCTTTCCTTCCTTCTTTTTTTTTTAGAAAGGAGAAGGGAAGAAGAAAGAGAGGGAGAGAAACATGATGGATAGCCTCTTGCATGCCTCCACCCAGGGACCAGGCCTGCAACCCAGGCATGTGCCCTGATGAGGAATCAAACCAGAGACCTTTCAGTTTGCAAGACAGTGCCCAACTCACTGAGCCACACCAGTCAAGGCTTTCTACTTGCTCTTACTTCGGGTAAACCATGGACTTTCTGAAAATAGAAAGTGGGTTTTTAAAAATATTTTTGAAAGAAATAATGCATTTTCTAAGTATGGGATAGAAACAGATATGAGTATGAGGTAACTGAAATGATTTTAGAGCTTAAGACAGATACTTACTGCGAGAGGATATTTTAATAGACCTGTTTGACAGAATAGAGATTTAAGAGGTTGCAATCTAAATGGAGAAAAGAAATTGGTGTTCATTGTGGTTCTTTTTTTTTTAATCCTCACCCGAGAACTTTTTTTTAATTGCTTTTAGAGAGAGAGGGAAACATCAGTGTGAGAGAAAGAGAAGCAACCATTGGTTGCCTCCCACAAGCACCGGACGGGGATCAAACTCACCCGGACTGGGGTTCGAACTCGCAACCTAGGTATATGCCCTGACTGGGAATTGAACCCGTAACCTTTAGGTTACGGGATGATGCTCCAACCAACTGAGCCACACACCTGCCAGGGCCATTGTGGATTTTTCTTGATACATGTCCCTACTTTTCCCACCTGTGGGTTTTTGCTCAGGGCCTTTTTTTTTCTTAGACAACTTAGTAGTCTTCTAGGCCTCACTTTTGGGGATTCCTTTCCTTCTTTCCTAGTGTCTATAGAAGATCCTTCCACCCCATTTCTTCCATGAAGCTTTTGCTGCCTCCATGAGTGAAACGCGGAGTCTGGAGGGGAAACTAAAGGAAAATAGTATGGGGAGTATTGTCAAGGATGTTTTACATTCATGTGTTAGTTGTGGGGAATTGGTGAAAGTTTCTAATCAGGTGAGGGACAAGATTATAGCTGAATTTTGAGATTTTGGAGGGGAGATTACTTGTGACCAGGCATCCTTACTGGATTGGAGGCTTAGAGAGCGCAGGTGCCCTGTGTCTGCAGTGCTTGGCCTAGTGCTGGGGCATGTACAAAGGGTTAAAAAAATTTTTAGTGAATATATATTTCTTTGAGCGTGTACAATACACACATACACACATACAACCCCAGATTTTACGTATGTCAAATGTTTAACCTAGGTCTTAGAACAGTACTTTTCATACTGTTTGTGATAGAGAAGTTTCACTATCTTAGGCTGCTTTTCTAAAAAGAAAAAAAGAAAAATGAAATTTAAAATAGGCTTATAATAATACAAGCCCCCATTTTTCATCGTTAGGTTCAATAGTTATAAAATTAACTCTGAAATTCCATTAATACTCATTTCATTGCACAGTAACAGTGTGGACTGGGCCTCGGACCACTGTTTGGGTAGTTTATTGTTTGGGTAGATTCTTGAGGTGTGTGTGTGTGTGTGTGTGTGTGTGTGTGTGTATTGTAGAGGAATACTGTGGTTGTAAACAACCCAATAGCCAAGGGCGTACAAGTTAGAAGAGATTATTTATTTTGGATTATGCCTCTCCATCTTATGCAGGTTTAAATAAGAACTTAATTAGCTTCGTAGAGTATTCCTATGGAAGGAACTCACTGATGAGACAGAAACAAATATGCCTTGAAACTCGTGTTTTGGATTTTTACCATACTTTTGTGTCAAGAAGACAAAAACAATGAAGAACTTATAATTGAAGTCATTGACAGAGTTTCTGTACATGGAAATATTGGTTTGTTTATTTAGCAGATTACTGGATCATTACTTCTGAAGGAGATATTTGATCATAATATTGTGAAATACAGAAGCACTTTTGTTAGGATTTAATATGATTTCAATTTTAAGGGGCAGCATTTCTATAAGACTTATTTTTCACTCTAAAACTGCTGCTGAACTTAACAAAATTGACAAATTTACTGCAGCACATATATATTCTTATTTCTTTATGTTTGAATATATCTGTAAGCCCAGAGAAATTCTGAAAATTTGTTTTCAATGTGTTTGAAATGGGAAATCACAATAGCTTTTTATTGTGCCCTATGTGTTTTTACAAAGAACTTTGTAATGAATGATTGGCCTTCTTGAAAGCTCTCAGAATTCATAAAGAACAGGAGAGTTGGAGCCTGGGCCCCAGCTGCAGTAAATTACACCCTAACTAAATATTGATTTGTATTCTAGACTGTAGTCAGAAAGAAATAAGAGCTTTAGTGGTTTATAACTCAAGGTTTTTAATACTTTCATATGGGAAGGGAAAGTAAGTACTACTAAGATTATTGACTATCATGGATTCATAGACTCCCTTGGGCTGGAGACTGCTTTTCCAAGTCGTTTGGTCCATTCGGTATGATGGCTGCCTGTACCTACAGAGCTTCATCATCAGTCCACTGTGGGGTGTGCAAAAGAGGGCTGGGTGATTGTACTTTTAGCCAGTGCTTCTGGGAGTGGTTTTGCAGGAGATATGTTTTAACTGTCTTATGTAAGTTCTGTTGTGGCTGTTGAAGTTTTGGGGATTAGTTTCTCAAGGTAATTGATTTAACTGTGTCTGGCTTTATTCATTAAAATGGTCTGATCACTTCAGTTTAATTGATGCCAGTAAGTAATTTTATATTTGACATTTTAGTGTCAACTTGGACCCCAAACAAGTGTTGCTCATCCTTATTTGAAATTTTTAGCTTTCTGATTATCCTGTAGTAGTGGCTGGGACAGTGTAAAGATGAGTGTGATCTTGTAATTGTGCTATATTCTAGTTTTGTTTTATAAACTATTTGAATCTAATATTCAGTACAGATGACTTTTATTTTTCTTATTTCTTAGACTGCAACTGGCAACGTGGAAGCAAAAGTAGTGTGCTTTTATAGACGACGAGATATTTCCAACACGCTTATAATGCTTGCAGACAAGCATGCTAGTAAGTTAATTGTTTTTTTCTTGGATTAATAAAAAAAAATGTCAAGTCTTTTGTTTTCCATAATGTGTGGAAAAAAACTTTTTTGTTACTTGTAGCTTTTTGCTTTCCCATTTTTCTTCCTCTTAGTTTAGATGAGAGTAATTTTTGGGGTGGTGCTTGTTTTTAGTATATATTTTAGGTTGCATCATGTTTCTTAATTAGTCAAAGTGTTGAAATAGAAGTCTTTATAAGTAGGCTGTAGCAGACAATCAGAGCAGTGTTTTGCCATGTCTCCTTTTCAATGGTGGTTTGAGTGTATAACTATAAGGAAATTTATATTTCACTGGCATTTTCTTGGAGGACTTTTTCCTGTCTGTAAATACCTAGATAATACTTACATTCTTAAAAATCTTGAGTATTAGTTACATGTTTATAGTATTAGGGATGCATTAAAAATTGCTAGAAAAAGAAATGCAAAGTGATATTTAGATATGCATTTCTGTAGATAACAGCTCTGAGTACTTCCTTTAAATTTTTTTTAAAAGTTGATTTTAGCCCTGGCTGGTGTAGCTCAGTGGATTTGGTGGGAGCCTGCAAAACAAAGGGTCACTGGTTTGATTCCCAGTCAGGGCACATGCCTGGGATGCCGGCCAGGTCCCCAATAGAGGATGTGCAAGAAGCAACCACACATTGATATTTTTCTCCTTCTCTCTCTCTCTCTCCCCCTTACCCTCTCCCTAAAAATAAATAAATTTAAAAAGAACTGATTTAGAGATAGAAGAAAGGGGAGAAACATCAATTTGTTGTTCCAGTTATTTATGCATTCATTGGTTGATTCTTTTTTTTTTTTTTAAAGACTTAAAGAAAATTTATCTTTTGAGGGGAAGGGAAGGAGACAGGGAGAAAAACATCAATACATGGTTGCCTCTCGTGTGTCCCCTGCTGGGAGCTGGCTTTAACCCAGGCATGTGCCCTGACTGGAAATTGAACCACAGTCTTTTGGTTCGAAGGCCTGCGCTCAATCTACTGAACCATACCAGCCAGGGCGGTTGATTCTTATTTTTTTTAAATATATTTTATTGATTATGCCATTACAGTTGTTCTATTTTCCCCCCTTCATTCCCCTCCACCCTGCATACCCCCTCCCCCACCATTCCCCCCCTTTAGTTTATGACCACGTGTCTCAAGTTCTTTAGTTTCTATATTCCCCCTACTATTCTTGCCCTCCCCCCTGCCCCTGTCTATTTTCTACCTACCATCTATGCTACTTATTTTCTGTACCTTCTCCCCCCTTCTCCTCCTCCCACTCCCCTGTTGCTAACCCTGCATGTGATCTTCAATTTTATGGTTCACTCCTGATCTAGCTGTCCTCTTAGTTTGCTTTTGTTTTAGGTGTGGTTGTTAATAACTGTGAGTTTACTGTCCTTTCACTGTTCATCTTTTTTATCTTCGTTTTCTTAGATAAGTCCCTTTAACATTTCTTATAATAAGGGCTTGGTGATGATGAACACCTTGAATTTGACCTTATCTGAGAAGCACTTTATCTGTCCTTCCATTCTAAATGAAAGCTTTGCTGGATAGAGAAATCTTGGATGTAGGTCTTTGGATTTCATGACTTGAAATACTTTTTTCCAGCCCCTTCTTGCCTGTAAGGTCTCTTTTGAGAAATCAGCTGACAGTCTGATGGGCACTCCTTTGTAGGTGACTGTCCCCTTAGCTCTTGCTGCTTCTAGGATTCTCTCCTTCATTTTAATCTTGGCTGATGTATTGATGATGTGCCTTGGTATGTTCCTCCTTGGGTCTAATTTCTTTGGGACTCTCTGAGCTTCCTGGACTTCCTGGAAGTCTATTTCCTTTGCCAGATTGGGCAAATTCTCCTTAATTATTTGTTCAAATAAGTTTTCCACTGGTGGCTGTTCCTCTTCCCCTTCTGGTACCCCTATAATCCGGATGTTGGAGCGTTTAAAGATGTCCTGAAGGTTCCTAAGCCTCTCCTCATTTTTTTGAATTCTTGTTTCTTCATATTTTTCTGTTTGGTCATTTTTTTCTTCCTTCTTCCTTTTGGTCCATTCCTTTGATTTGAGTCCCAGTTTCCTTTCCATCACTATTGGTTTCCTGTGCATTTCCCTTCATTTCAATTAGTTTAGCCTTCATTTGTTCTTCTAATTTGTGACTAAAATCAATCAGTTCTGTGAGCATCCTGATCACCAGTGTTTTGAAATGTGCATCTGAAAATTTTGCTATTTCTTTGTCGCTTAGATTTATGGGCTCTGGGGCTTTGAGATCTTCTTGAGCTATTTTTGGTCTGTTTGTGCCGGTTAAGTATGAAGAGCGGAGCCTCAGGTGTTCACCAGGGCGGGGCCACCCAGGTCGCTGGTTAGTGACACTGTATGTGGGGGCGAGGCTGGGTCAGAGAGGGACAATGGCGGTCCCCTCTGCTGCTTCCCGCTGCTGGGGCCTGCTCCGTCCGTCTCACTGCTCGCTGTGTCTCACTGCTCGCTCCTTCACCGGTTTTTCTGTGCGTGAATGTGTGACCGAAGTCAGCCCTCAGTGGGTCGGCCTGCTACTCCACACCTGGGATCCGCCCATGGCTGCCTGCGCACCTGGGTCTCGCGCCCGGGTCAATCCGGTGGATCTTTCCTGCCCGACCCCACTCTCCTGCTGGCTCTGCCCCTCTTACTGGTTTGGCTGATGGGTTCGTTGTTGTCAGACTTTTGTATAGTTCAATTTTCTGTGGTTTGGCTCTGTTTTTGTTGCTAAAACTATGTCGTTTTTAAACTTGGTTGTGCGAGAAGGCACAGTGTTTCCACCTACACCTCCATCTTGGTGGAAGTCCTCCCAGAATAGCCAGAGCGGTTGGTTCTTTTTTAAAAAAATTTTATTTACTGATTTTAGAGAGAAGGAGGAAGAAAGAAACATTGATTTGTTGTTCTACTGATCTGTGTATTCATTGGTTGATTCTTTTTTTGTGTAAATATTTTATTTTTTTACTTTTAGAGAGAGGGGAAGGAAGAAGGACAGAGAGAGAAATATCAGTGCGTGGTTGCCTCTCACATGCTCCATATGTGGGACCTGGCCTGCAACCCAGGCATGTGCCCTGACTGGGAATCAAACCAGCGAGTGACCCTTTGGTTTGTAGGCTGGTATTTAATCCACTGTGTTATATAAGCCAGGGCCATTGGTTGATTCTCATGTGTGCCCTGACTGGTGATTGAACCCACAACAGTAGCATATTAGGGTGATGTTCTAACCAACTGAGCTACCCAGGCAGGACTAAAATTAAAAAAATTTAAATATAGTTGGTAAATACAGTAGTTGGTATTATACTATAAGCACTTACTTGTAGTATCTGTTTGTATTGTATTTGTTTGTTTTTTTGTCCAATCAACAGCTTTAACATATTTTAGCATCTTTTAAAAAAAACAACAACAAATAGTCGTAAAAACGATTTAAATGTTAAAAAAGGCATATATGGACTATAAGTACTTTATTTTGAAAGCCATTTTCGGTTTGATGCTGTGATCTGTAATGGGTCTTGGAGACTCTGAAGGAGTAGAGGTGAGGTGGTGATGGGTCAGGGAGGCCACTGTGTGCACACATGGTTTGTCCTATTCTGTCTGCTTGGGAGCTGTTCCCCCCTGTGCTGCCAATTTACACAGGCAGATCGGCTGTCTCGTAAGTTAAATTCCTGTTATGTATTCTGCTGTGTAGTTCATAGCGTTTCTAAATTTCTATTTTTATATAGAAAGTATTCATTATGATACAGATTGTATAATATTTACAAATTCTATATTGACAGATTCAGGGCATTCATGTCTATCCCCTATGTATGTGACCAAAATAAGTGCTTAAAGGGAGTTTATTAGTGAAGCAGTGAGGCAAAGAATGGGCTACTCCACAGAGTAGCCAAAATAATTGCTTATTAGAATGACATACTGATCAGTTATTTCAGCTATTAGCCAAAACCTGTAAATTCACTGCATTGTCAAGTTTCTACTTAAGGTTTATTTGCATTTTATTCACCATTTACAACATAAACTTAAGAAAGGTAAACTGCCCTGGCTGGTGTAGCTCAGTGGATTGAGCTCGGGCCTGCAAACCAGAAGGTCACTGGTTCGATTCCCAGTCCGGGCACATGCCTGGGTTGCAGGCCAGTTCCCAGTGGGGGACGTACAAGAGGCAACCACACATTGATACTTCTCTCCCTCTCTTCTTTCCTTCTCCTCTAAAGACAAATAAATAAAAAAATCTTAAAAAAAAAAGAAAGGTAAACTGCCTTATTTATATTCACATATTTTTGGGTTTCATGTAGCTGCTAATGCAGCTTCTTAAGTTACTGTGAAAGTAGTGAAATGTAAAGATCGTTAGGGATTTGCTGACTCTTCCTGGAGGGTCTCAGCATGCCGGTGCCTGGGGGCTATTTTAGACTTGCGTGTACAGAAAATCCATTTTTTCAAAATTGATTGGGCTCTTGGGATTGACTCATAGAAACCAAATTTCAAGAGATTTAAGAGTCAGTCAAATTATGTACTGGCAGTTGTGCAGGTTAGAGAAAGACCTGGGTTCAGATTCTAGTTTGCTACTAGTGGCTTGCTGTGGGAAATTTTCTTAACTTCTCATTCATCTCCATTTTCTTCATCTGTTAAATGGGATTGAAGAAATTACCTCACTTTATGTTACATGTATTTTCACACAATTAAAAAAGTTAAGGGAAAACGTTGTGCCCTTGTTGCTGTGAGGATTAAGGGGCCCACGGAAAGGCTCATTGTGGGTGCTTAACAACTGTCAGTTGGAGTTTGTAACCTCAGTAAGTTCAGAGCGTCTCTTTGGGTGGATTACTTCTGTTTACATTTACCTGTTTTCACTCACTGTTTATTGAAATAGCTTAGTCTGCTGGAGTTAGAGGTGTCTTTCTCTTTGTTGGTATTGACTAAAATTTAAGGTGGGGAGAACAAATAAAATTGCCTGACTAGTTCATGCTTTATAAAGAGGTTTACAGAAAGATTAATGGGAAGAGTGTC